CCAATAGTTTGATTTAACAATTGACATAATGATTTGGTATTATATTATCTTAATTTTACAGGTAACGTTCAATTTTCTAAATAGAAATTTCTGAATGGAATTTCTTTTCTGCTTTAAAAAATATAACTTGTTCCAGTTTATAATATCAATTAAATAAAGGTAACCATTTGCAAATCAGTTTTGAATGCATTTGCTATATCAGTAGAGGTTGTTTAGATTTATTCCTTTGAAAATGACCTGTGCAGGACAACAGAGATATGAATGTTAATTTGAAAGAAATGAAATTGTATGGTTTACTTTTCAATACAAATACATTTAACAATTTATATTGGGGTTGAGTTCAATATTTCCATTTTAAAGAAACGGCTTTTCTTTTTACTTATTTGCATATTTATTTTGTTTGGGGTTTATTTTCATTTCTCTATTTTTTCATAATAATAAATCAAATTTTCATGTGGAATAAGATCTTTTTGATTATTTTTGATTCTTGAATTGTACTTTTTTATTTTTTATTTTTTTATTTCTGCATCTAAATTTGTAAATACTGTCAAGAGTTTTATGAAATTTCTATGTAAGCAGATGGATTTGTTTGTTGATTCATATGAGTAGTGATTTTCATTTTTGAAGGAAAAACAAAATAAAATGCACTTAAAAGTCTTGCCTTTATACACAGACCATTGTTTGAATCTGGACTCCCAAAAAGTACACTATTGTACTGAAGAGAGTGCAGGAATACACTTTACTTTTTTTTTTTTTTTTTTTTTTTTTTTAAATAAGCAACTATACTCAAATTTGACGATTCTTAAACAACTCCACAACTCATGTTAGTGTGGCTTTAGCAAATAAATCAATAAAACTGTAACATTAGGCAAAATCTGTTTCTAAATATATTATTTCAGACTATATTCAAAAAAATCTATCAATTACAGTAAAATGTCTTTTCCATTTATTATATATACACACACACACACACACACACACACACACATATATATATATATATATATATATATATATATATATATATATATATATATATATATATATATATATATATATATATATATATATTTTGTAGTCTTAAGCAACATAACATTGAAGATGCCTTGCTATTCAAACTGGGTAAGAAGAGATAGATTTTTACCTTGCCAAGGCTATTTGTGTGAAAGTGAATGCACCAGCCTCAGCTAGAATTTGAACTTAGCACCCCAATCCCACTTTCTGCACCAATGACCATTAAGCTTCATGAGTATCTGTTTCTACTTATTAAACCCAAACATAAATTTAAGCAACTTTAGTATGAATTCTTGTGCAAAAATTAAAGAACCAAATCCATATCTTCTACCCACCAGCTAGGGGTTAAATAGCAGGGTAAACCAGCCTCTTTAACCTTGAGTAGCAACCACTCTAAGAGAAGGAAAACTCTTGAGTTTCAAACTGTGGAGAAGGCAGCAGAGAAACCAGTCCATTTTCACAAGAATGCATGGCAATTCACAGATTATAAAGAAAAAGGAGAGAGCTATGTTTATGAAGGGACATGATATTTTAATTTATTTAATACAATATAGTTATCTTTATGAATCAAGAACCAAGTTCAGCAAGTTCTAAGACACATTATGGTAGAGATAAATAATAGAATCACATTTATTTGATGCCACAGTTTTGATTTTCAGGTTTTTGAGTAGACACATGCAGACATTGAGCTTTATATATTAGATCAGAATAGAATATTGAGAATGGTTGGAGTATTCAGAAGACATTTGATTTCCAACAAAAGCCATTAAATTTCCAACAAAAGCCATTAAATACAACTAATGTGATGATTGGCGTTGTTATTTTAATTGTTATTAAGCATCTCAAAATTGAAAACTATCAGAAAGGAAGATATTTACATTTAATGATTGTGTAAAGCTATAAAAACTCTATTTATGGACATATCAATTGTCAGTAAAGAAGGGTAATTCAAGAAAAATAATGTAAAGAAAGAAAATAGACCATCCTCATCAGGTAAGATTATTTCTAATTTTAAAATAGGAGATAGAAAAATTTTGTCAAATCTGAGATGCAGTTAATTTATATTAACTGAAATAGACAAATATCAATAATGTTGATGTAGAAATCACAAGATTTACTCTAATAACTTTTTTTTTCTAAAAAATAAATAAGAAAAATCAGGGGTGCATATTATGCACAGCTACAAAAATATAATTAAAAAATTACTGTAAAATAAAATAAGAATTATCATAAAACTAAATTAGAATAATATTATTCTATGTTTAAAACCAATTTTTTAATAAGAGTAGGAAATGCTGGCTGTAATGAAATTCGAGAAGTATAATTTATAGGGTTTCATTACCAAACAAGGGGTGTGTATTATGCGTGAGTAGAAGCATTTTCCCAAACTTGCAACACAATTTTAGATGTGTGTATTATGGATGAAGGCGTATTATACATGGGGAATTATGGTATATGTTACTTTCTTGCTCATAAATACTGGGGTATGAGGAAATGCCTTTATGAATATTACAAAGAGTTTAAAGAAAAAAATTGATATCATATGGACAACAGCACAGTGATGGTATGTCCTGTAAAGGTATGGCATTTAATGCAGCCAGAGCAGCAGCAGCAGTGGTGGTGGTGGTGTCTAGGGCAAGATAGCCTGATAGAGCCAAACCCTCTTTAGGCTGGTTTTGAATTTTCCCTTCTCATAGTCTGGATGTCTAGTCTCTCTTGCTATTTAACTCATAGCTGGAGGAATATGGATTCATGCCTTTTCCAAGGACAGTAGTGCAAAGTGAACCAAACAGAATTGAGTGGGAATTGAACTTGGCATGCCTAATTTATCTTCCACACCAATACCTATTACACTGTCTGTGCCTCCATAGCATTGTAGCGTTCAGTTAAAGAAAAGGAAAAAGCTCACAGCCTTTGCTGTCACTTTACCTGTGGTCATATTTGCCAGATACATTTCTGCTCAAAGTATATATTTCTTTATTTTTTTAATTTTTTTTATTATTATTATTATTTTTTTTTTTTTTTTTTTTTTTAGTAAAATGGGCTTTTCGAAATCAAGAAATCAGTCATTATTTATAATTTTTTTATTTCACTTCATCATAATCAATATTATTTTATCATCATCATCATCATTATTGAAAAGTAGAATTTACAGGCAACCAAATGAGTTTCAATAGTATATGAAATATTTTTTTCTTGTGCTGAAAGCTTTATTGAAATTTTGACTTTTTTTTTTTTTCTTTTAATAGCTTTTTTTGTTAGTTATCACCAAAGACTAACGTCTTAAATTTCACTTTTTTTTCCTTTTAGGCTACCATACTTTAAAATTATAAAGGTTAGGTTTTAGTGGGGACAAATGAAAATTATCCCATTTTTCATTTTGTTTTTTCATTGCTGTTTATAGCTTATAGAAAATTTGCAAATATTTTACTGATGTTTTGTGCAAATAATCAAAAACTTAATTAATTTTTCTTTCTTTTCTAGGTAAGTAAACTCAATGTTACTGGATTTCTGAAATGTTAGCAATTTCTTTCCGTCCTTCAAGTAAGTCTGTAAAAGTCATTTTTTTCTGTTGCCTTATGTCTTCAAATAGAAGTTGATTATTTTTTTGTGAATTTGTTTTTTCATTTACAATATTGGGTTTGTCACAATGTTTGTTTGGTATATTAAGTTTATATATAAAAAAAACAATTGTCATAAATTTTCAATGTTAACTTTATGGAACAACATATTTACTGATTTTGTTCCAGTATCTTTTGCCAGTTTTCAAGCAACTTCATAAATCCATTCTCTCAGAATGTTTTAGCTTTCTCAGCAGAGAACTATTCTGGGTGTGTTTTGTAATCTTCTACTCCAGAGAATTTAATTTTTCTTTCATTAATAGTCTTCTGAAGAACAGAATAAACAGTAATTCAAAGATGCAGTATTTGGTGAATATGGCAGATCTTTTAGAACTGGTTAAGCTGTAGTATATATTTTTTTCATTTTAAAATTTAAAAAATAATAATTTTAATTTTAAATTTTTAAAAATTTATTTTCAATAAAAATATTTTTGGATTTTGATAAAATTTTCAAACAAATGTAATATAATATAACAACTATCACAATAAAATAAAAAAAATAAATTTTCTTTTTTCTAAATAATTTATCAAGCTACTCATGCTATTTCATGTCAAACTCAGGCTGAACTTCTTGGTCAAACCAAAATATGGTATATATGAAAAGTTTTTGGCCCAAACAGAACTGAATTTTAAAAAAATTCTGATATTGCTTTACTGGGTTAGATGTTGAGAATGGGTTGGACAAGGTCCTCCTCCCACTGGTTTTGCTTATCTGTGATCAACAATACCATGGCCAGGTGTTGTAGGGTCACTGCACAAGTGAGCACATGACCAGATTCCTCTACATGTTTTTGTTAAGTCATCATCTGTCTATATTTCTGTGATTAGGTATTGTAATTATTTACACTATTTACATTGTTGTCCTCATCTTTATTGCCATATTCACAACATTTTGGTTGTTGTACGTTCTCTCATACTTCAGGTGATATGTTGGAATCTACCTCTGTGAAAGGGTTTGGTTTGAAATTCCAATTTATATTACCTGAAGAAGGCCCGAGCATACAATGGCTGAAACATTGTTAATATGGCAGTAAGGATGAGGGCAATAGTGTGAACAATGTAAATAATGTAAGTATTCATTGACATATAGCATGTCTTGAGCAAGTAGACCTGGCAGAGCCTATCCCTCTCCAGATCAAAACCCCAGACATAAGTTTTACTTAAAAATGCTGTATTTCTTTTAAATGAAAAGGTGAACGTTCTTGACTTAATAAGGAAAGAAAAAGTCATTCGGTGGTTGCTCAGCTCTGTGGTAAGAATGAATCTTCTTTCATGTCATAAGATTTTGGTAGTATATTTTAATAGTTCTATTTCATGATTGTTGTTCATCTCACAGTGTGACTAATTCATAAATTAAACTTTACCATGGGAAATGACACACATATATATCTCTCTATATCTCTCTCCCTATCTCTCTATATATCTCTCCCTATCTCTCTCCCTATCTCTCTATATATCTCTCCCTATCTCTCTATATATCTCTCCCTATCTCTCTCCCTATCTCTCTATATATCTCTCCCTATCTCTCTATATATCTCTCCCTATCTCTCTATATATCTCTCCCTATCTCTCTATATATCTCTCCCTATCTCTCTCTATATCTCTCCCTATCTCTCTCTATATCTCTCCCTATCTCTCTCTATATCTCTCCCTATCTCTCTATATCTCTCCCTATCTCTCTCTATCTCCCTATCTCTCCCTATCTCTCCCTATATCTCTCCCTATCTCTCTCTATATCTCTCCCTATCTCTCCCTCTCTCTATATATCTCCCTATCTCTCTCCTATCTCTCTATATCTCTATATATCTCTCTCTATCCCCTATCTCTATATGTCTCTCTCTATCTCTATATCTCTCTATATGTATCTCTCTATATATATCTCTCTATATATATCTCTCCTCTCTATATATATCTCCCTATCTCTCTATATATATCCCCTATCTCTCTATATATCTCTCCCTATCTCTCTATATATCTCTCTATATATATCTCTCTATATGTATCTCTCCCTATGTATCTCTCTCTATGTATCTCTCCCTATGTATCTCTCTATATGTATCTCTCTATATGTATCTCTCTTTCTCGATCTATCGATCTCTCTTTCTCGATCTAGATCTCTCTTTCTCGATCTAGATCTCTCTTTCTCGATCTAGATCTCTCTATCTATCCTGTGTATTTAGACAGCACATGTACCTTTAAGGTAAATACTAGCATATTTCTTGTACTTTTCTTCCCAAATTAACTTTGGACATTTTCGTCTTGTCTGAAAAGGATTATGCATAATTTTGAAAAGTTGATCAATAAAATTGACACAAAAACGTATGTTTTATATATATATATATATATATATATATATATATATATATATATATATGTGTGTGTGTGCAATCTTGGAGCCAAAAAAGAAAGGAAAAGTGCTAATGCATTGACATAATGTCTGCCATAATTATCATTATAATAATCTTTTATGTAAGAATTTATATTTTATGTCAATTTTGCTTTGATTGTTATAAATATGAATGACTAAAATGATGGAAACTCTCAAAACAATGATGAAAGAAAACAGTTTCTAATTTAAAATATATGAAGTTTCCAGTTTAACACTTTGAAAAATATTAACAATTTTACTATAAATTATTATTATAATATTCCTCTCAATATTTAGGGAATTTCAATTTTGTGAAGATTGCATTGCAAGCATTTTAATATCTTTTCTCTTGTTTTTAATATCTTGTCATTCTTTTTAGAAGAATACACTTCAAGAATTTTACTGAATTTTATATATATTTTTTATATACCCATTAATATATATATATATATATATATATATATAGTATGTATGTGTGTGTGTATTATGAATTATATTTCTGGTGCACAGTGACTGACCATTATTGTCAGTTTCATACTTTCATACAATGGTCAAGTGTCCGGCAGCTGTAGTGTGAAAATGTGAACTGTTGTTTCTCTAGGGAAGTCTGAGATGGAAAAAATATGGCCAGTGCATGTATATCATGCAAACACCAACCAAATTCATCTGCAAGTTGGAAAGCACCCCATCTGGCCAAGATCGAATGAAGTTGTAAGCATGTAATGACACCGTGGGGGTGTTGGTGAAGCAAAAAAAAAAAAAAATAGAAATAGTTTGCTGGTGTGGCAAAAAGGGACTCAATGCCACACAGAGCAATGAGGCCATGGTCAAGAAGCCTAATCCTTTCAAGTGAAAAAGTGCTCAACAGAACAGAGACCCCTAAAGTCATCCATGGTAGAGTTTTCTGATATTAATAGAAATAAGCAGCTCTTAAAATGAATCTGCTGTAGATGCACACCAAAAAAAAAAAAAGAAGCCCCACGCTATATAAAATGGCAGAGCTTTACCAAAGTATGAATTAAATTTCTGGCGAACAGTGACTGACCACTACTGTCAGGTTCATGTTATCATCAGATGGCTGGAAGATACACACACACACACACACACACACACACACACACACACACACAAACAATAACAAATATTAAATACGAAAAATGTTTCACAGAGAAATTCTAAAGCTTTTTTTAGATTTTTGGTGTTATTTATTTTATATTTTTCAGCATTTATAAGGAGTTTATTTTTTGATACTACTCAATCCTAAATTGTTTTATGCATTCTCTAAAGAATGAATAGAAGCCTAAAACTGAATATGTGATTAATTAGCATTATTAATTAGCCAGTATAAAAATTTAGCTCACCCCTGTAAATGGAAGCACTGCTTTATTCTGTTCAGTTGATTACATTTGTATTTTTTCTTCAAGACTGCTTATTCTTTTTGTTTCTTTTGCTATTCTTGAGTTTTTGTTTTAAGAAAATTTTCACAAAAAGAAAGACAAAAACAGAGCCTTCAGTATATCCATGCTTTCATTATCGTTTCTAGATTAACATTAGAAGTGGAAAATAGATTATTCATGAAGTTAACACTATTTATTTTCTTTTAATCAACATTTAAAAATAATCTTTGGAAATGTTCGTTTATTGACATTTAAAACGGATCTTATTAAGCAGATCACAAAATAAATGGAAACCTGCATGAATGTCAAAATGAAAACGTGTGCACTAAAAGAAAATCTCTCCCTTCTATGTGCCATATCTCTTCAGGATGTAAGCAGGTGTACTTCTCCATCACTTTCTTGTTTTATTGATTTCACTAATACTTGTTCCTTTATAAGTCCTATTTGTTTTCATGGTATTTCTCCCTTTACCCATATGCTCAGATATTTCAAGTAGGTTACTCAGTTTTTTCTTCAACTTATCTTACTTTCAGTATATCCTTTGAATGTTAAATTCTCCAAGCCTTCTTTTCTCATTCTATGTCTCCAAAATGTCAACTGTCTGATTCTGACTTTTTACATTTTTAGTTCCTATTTTCCTCAACATTTCTTCAATCATCACATGCTCTGTTCATGGTGTTTTCAACATTTTTGGAAATGGAAATGTATCTATGTTGCTGTAATTTTTTTTTTTTTTTTTCATTTGTGGTAAAATTGAGTTTTCACCTTCATGTAGGAAGGTAGACTGTTTTTCTTTGTTTCTAATGTTATTTTACAATTTCACAATACCTTTACTCTTGAGTACCAATTAAACATCCCACCCACTTGTTAATTTTGGGATTTCTTTCCAACCCTACCAGAGCTTATGAAGATCCCAACTAGGCTTATATTTTTAAAAAATTATTTTGATGGATATTTAATTATACAGTGTCCAATCTAAAATATTTGTAGCCTTGTAACTCAACATGGTAGAAACAATCTGTAAAAAAGGATAAGAAGGAAGAAGTCTTTAAATTTATTATTGGAATTGTGAATTTTCACCATGTCCACCATCATTATAGATAGGGTGATCTGATTCTGTAGTTTTCAGAAAACATTTTGCAGCTGATTTTCAATAATATCTTCAATCACTTCAATTATCATAGCTTGCAATTTCTCTAAAGATCGGGGTTTAGTTGAATAAACGTTACTTTTCACATGCCCCCATAAAAAGAAATCCAATGGTGTGAAATGTTTTTTAATCATTTTCCAACTACCTCATTTATCAAAATGCCTCTTTTATTAGATTTTCTTACCCCCCCCCCACACACTTTATTTAGCACCCAGGAGTACTCCATTTCTGAACAGTTTTTTTGCTATTCCTATGTGTCTGAATTTCTGTCATTTGATTTTGGTATCCCCAATGTATAGCTCATATTTTGAGCTGCCCCTTTTACTGACAACCATGCATTCTGCCTTCTTAGAGTATTTAGTTCTTTCTTTAACTCTCTTTACTATAATTTTGAATTGTAGTCAGAATACTTGCAAAAGTTTTATTCAGCATAATCTATCAATAGGGCTTGAATTGATTTTGTTCTTTTCTTTTGTTATGTTAGATCGACAACTTAGAGAAGTGAAACTGAGCTGGTCTTTAAGTTGGTACATCTAAAGTTTACTCCTTGTCTGTTTAGACACCAAAAATTGTTATATTTTCTTTTACTTATGTTGTGTGGAAGAAGCCGATACTTTGTAGCTGTTGCTCGTTTAATCCTGTTTTGACTCACAAATAACGTCTCTTTTCATAGTCCATCTCTAATTTCATGAAGGATATTTCTCTTCTTTTACTGATTCTTCTATAAAATAATTTGTTAATGTATTCTGTCTTTACTTACCTCTCTCCCTGACCACATTTTGGTCATAAATGGTTTCAAGTCTTTGCTTTTCATTCCAGTTATAGCCTTTTATAGACACTTTGTCATGGTTGCTAATTCAATTATATTTTTATTCAAATTGGCATCTTTTTACTGTCTCTGACTTGGCAAAAAAATTCTTCACCCCAGATGCTTTATTACCTGTTGGTTCAGGGCTCTTGTGAGAATTACTTTCTTCCCTTGGATCCCATTTTAAACTCATTATAATGTTCATGTCCATTCATGTAGTATTTATATCAGTTTTGAAAAGTTTCCAAATATTTAATAATTTAAATGGGAATTGTTTTATGTTATTTAAAATTATTTCTGTTTTTATTTTGTAAAATCCTGTTGTAATGAATGTATGGTTCAGAGTTAGTGTTTCTCAAACATTTTTGGCCATGTCCCTGAACATAAAATAGAACATAATGTTCATTTTTCTTGTTGTTTTAACCAATAAGTTTTGCCATAATTTTGCTCTAATTAACTAATTAATAGTCAATAACTTTTAATATCTATGTTGATTTTAAGAAAATGAAAGATGTAAATGTCTTTTGAGCATATTAGTCTGTCAAGCATTGAAAATACCAATGCCTGAAATAAGAAATGTTACTTCTTTTGTGTCCAACTCCAGCCACATTAGCATTTAATTAATGAGTGTGAACAGACTATAATATTTTAGTTTTTGCACATTTATCATGACTGAGTGGTCAGAGTATCAGTGCTGCGACCGTGAGACCCAAGTTTGAATCTTGCCATGGTTGATTAGTCACTCCGGTGACTCCTTGATAATATCTGCTTGATGAGATGACCCTAGCATGAAGCATTATGGGAAGTGCCTGAAAACTACACCACAAGTTGACTCAGACCTTATGAATGAAACTGGGTTGGTAAAACTGTTCAGAAGCTGTTGATAGTTGTGTTAGCACAAACAGGCAAGTTCTCACCTAATGGGAAGATAGATCTTTAGCTTTGATTGGCAATTTATCTAAATATGTTGTCTCAATGAAAACACCCATTCACTAGCAGTCTGGCCTATGTATTAGCAAGAAGAAAATGACAATGACTGACACTCTTCATAAAAGAACTGAGTCATGTAAGTTCATCTTTTGCAAAAATAGCATATGATGATCAATGCTTTATTATTTACAACTATTTTCCTGTTACAGAATCTTAGGGCTTACGGCTATATCATGTTGAAACACTTGTTCTCATCCCATCACCAAAGTTAAGCAATGTGCAGCCTGGTTAATTTCTAAATGAGTAACTGCTTGGGAATACCAGGTGCTGTAAGCTTGGATATGTGAATGGTGGCTTGGAGTAGAAGATAAGAGAATCACGTTCCAATTCCAGTCTGGTTCATTATATTCACTTACATGTTTGGGCAGGTACATTTGAGAAAGGTATGAATTCACCTTCTCTCTCCAGTTATGTATTGACTAGTTGGATTTGTATCTAGAAATCATTGTTATCTTAAAAAGATTCACTCAAAAAGAAAAAGGATTAT